GTACTCCACTATGCAAATTAGGTGGATCCTACCACAACAGTTAATTAATTATTTCTTGATCTGTTTACTACATTGAGCTCCCGGGATTTATATCCTTCCTGGAATAATCCATACGGATTACAAAATAACTTTATCATATATATATATATATATATATATATTGCATCAAACTGAAAGGAGTGTCGTATGCCATTTTTCATTAAGTTTTGAAGACGGTAAACAAAAGAACCGTCATCGCTTCGTCAATCTCTGAAGCAGAGACGCCATCAAAATCCTGCTTTAGCAAGTTTCTTCTGTCAGTGAGTCTTCGTCGCCTGCAGCAAGGTTGACCTAGTATCACAGTTAAAAAAATCATAAATGAAATATCTTTCCCTTACCTGATTTTCTCCACAACAGCCCCTGCTAACATGCATAAGTGTAAAACGAAAGGCACCATCAATGCTGACCCTCATTCATCGTTCATGATAGGAGATTCCATTATATATATATATATATATATATATATATATATATATATATATATATAATATTAATTTATAAAATGAAACAAATTTAATATTGGAAGTTATAAGAACGTTTTATTCAAATTTTAAGGTCAATTTATGATAATAATGTCTAATATACACCCCCCCCGCAAAAACCTAAGGTGTAAGCTGAATTTTTAAAAGTGAAAAATCTTTTTTGAATCTTTATTTTTGTTTTAATTTCAAGCTTATAGATTAAATTTAATTTTAACAATACAAAAATTAATGCTGTATTTCAAAATTAATTTAAATTGACTGCAAGGACTTTTCGTTTTGAAATCAGTAACATCGTTGATTTTAGCGCCATCTTTAACCTTCCACAATCGCAATATAATTTTTTTTATTAAAAAAAATCTTTCAAAAATAAAATATACCATTCCGAAACGTTATTTGAGGAAGATTAGCTGATTTGAAGTAAAATTAATCGAATTTGAAACAAATATTATTTACTTTTACGATGGAATATCTCAGAAAAGAACATTTTAAAAAACACAGCTGGGTGTCTTTATGAGTTGTTGACACATTTCTCGATAGAATTATTTGGGAATTTTTACTAAGGGGACATAACTGTAGAAATTTCTTGATGTATATAACATGAACGCTTTTTTATATAATTTTTTTTTAACTACACAGTAAACTTTAAAATTTAATAAAATATTCGAAGCGATCTAATATTTTATTGGATTTTTGTCTGAAAATGAATTTCTTTTCATTTTCTTTTCATAAAATAACTGATTATCTCTCTTTTTAGGTCGTCTTTCATCACAATGTAATTCTCTTTATTAAAAAAATCTTCCAAAAATAAAATATACTTTTCTGAAACATTATTTGAGGAATATTTGCTTACTTTAAGTTTAAAATATCGCTGTTTTTTCCTTTTAAATGTTGACAGCCTCAATGACGTATCTATAACGTTTACTTGAAGAACATAACGTCATACTTTTCGAACCCTATATATATATATATATATATATATATATATATATATATATATATATATATCATACTTATTATAAAACGCAGATTGTATTTGTGTGTGTGTCCGCACGTTTATATATTGGATCGGATTTCCTACATTTTTCAACCGATTTCAACAAAAGTTCACAGGACTACGTAAAATTACCTTGCGGTGCTTCTGACAGCCCCCAAAATTGGAAAAACACAATTGTTTTTGCACGAAATCAATTTGAAAACACGATTAAGAGGCATTGCTGTCGCGAGAATGAAAGGGGGACAACTCATATCGAGTTATACTTATTATAATACCCAGGTTGTTTGTGTGTGTGTGTTCGTTTATATATGGGAACGGATTTCCTACATTTTTCAACCGATTTCAACAAAAATTCACTTCTTTTTTGGCAGGTAGTGTTTCTTATTGTCTTGCACACTTTTTTCTTTATTTTACATTCAGAATGCTTTAAAATTCCATTTTACAAGACAATTGTTTATAATAAAATTCTATTCAATCGGTAGACTCATAACGATTGAAAACAATGTTTTTGTTTGAGTTTGGGTTTGACCAATTCAAAAAAAATATAATTAAGACATGCGTGTCCGTCAACCTTAAACAATAATCTTTGTCAATTTTATTTTTCAGTCTTTATGATGGTTGATACTTGATCTATCTCTTACTGTTACATCCCTGGGCAACGCCGAGTTGTACTGCTAGTATACATATATATATATATGCGAGGCAATGAGATCGAAAGTAATATATAAATTCTAACGTTCACAACATTAATTCAAAAGAAGGCTCGATAGTAGAGCAATAATTATTTATTATAATTTTTTCTATAGACAAAAACAGTTTACCCACTACAAAGATGCGACTTCATTTTTTTCTGTTTTTTTTTTTTTTTTTTTTGTTCTCACCAGTCCAGGTGCAATTGAAATGCACCGAAACGAAGTTGCATCTTTGTAGTGAGTAAACTTTTTTGTCTATATGTAAAATTATTATATATATATATATATATATATATATATATATATATATATATATATATATACAGGGTGTCTAAAAAGTCTTTAGACAATTTCAAACCCATTACAAAATACTTAGAAGACATGACAACTAAACTTTTCTTACTAAATTATTATTCAAGTTTAGTAGAGCGATAATTATTTATAATTTTATCATATACAAGCACAATTGTTCATAACCATTTTTTTTTTTCTCCAGTCGAGGTGCTATCATCTCTCCACTTGTACTACGGACTGTCAGACTTCATAACAGGACGCTAGTTGAGCGCTTATGCAGTATGAGACGTTGAGTAATTCTGGCTACACTTTTTACTCTGATATTAGCAATAAAACTCTACCTCTTTAGGGATCACAATATATTTTATTTCGTGCAAATGCGGTTATATTAACAAAAGTTTTAAGTAAATTTCAATAGGGAGTTTCTTTTCCACTAACCCTAAAATATATGGGTGGTTCGAAAAAGATGTAGCGTGCCTCATAGGAACGGTGGAAAAGAGTAGCAAGTGAGGCGGAAAGATTGAAAAGCAATCAAAGTTTTAGAAACAGTTGCAAAAATATTGAAATTAATATGATTTCAAAATTTAAAATATTATTTTGGATTACTTTGAATTGCAAGTATGAGTACCAGTATAAATAGTTATAAATAATTATTGACTGATTTTATCAATATGATATTTTTGCATTATATCAAGTATTAAGAATATAGTAACTTGAGTCCGCAAATTGGAGAGAGTTATCAATGATAATGTTCTGACATCGAATCCACGGTTATCTCCCTTTAAACGATTGTCTCTTCTTTTTTTCTATTTTTTAAATGTACGTTTTATCACAAAATTTGGTGAGGCGCGAGCAAATGCGGCCCACAGAAAAAAAGTTTTGGAAACACTGGCATTGATATAAATATATATATATATATATATATATATATATATAACACACTTTAAAACTATATTTCTGCATATATATATATATATATATATATATATATATATATATATATATATATATATAAAGTGCTCAATATCAGCGATAGAGCATATGTAAATATAAACCTGAACATTGAAGTGAACACTCAAAGGAGACATGCAGTTTTATGCTAGACGCAATAGTCAGTCCGCCTGATATATATATAGATATATATATATATATATATATATATATATATATATATATATATATATATATATATATATATATATGTGTCAGTGAATACATTTTATATATCAAAATGTACCATAATAAGATGTCAATGTAGAAATTTTTAGACTAATTACTCGACCAAGTGTGTAACATTACATTAATTTTATAATACTCTATATATATATATATATATATATATATATATATATATATATATATATATATATATATAGCGTCTATCATGAAACTGCCTGTTGCCTCTGAGTGTTGACTTCAATGTTCACTTATATATATATATATATATATATATATATATATATATATATATATATATATATATAACTTCTTTTTTTCTTTTCTTTTCTGAACTTGAGGACATCCATTGTATTCTCCGATTTCTCTCATCCGGTTGCACTCCCTCCCTATCTTTTGAACAGGAGTAGAGGTTTATCCCTTGTTTCTTTTTTATAATTGGGCTTCCGGTTCCTTCCAATGTCTACTCCAACTCTATACTTCTAACCTCTCTTTCTGAACTGAATATTCTTTTCAATAAATATTTTATTTAGTTTTTTTCTACTCCCCCAACAGGAGTTGATAAGTTCGTCTATCGTTCGGGTCACCTTTTTATTTATTTATTTATTTATTTTTTTGACAGGTATAGTGTTTTATCCCTTGGATTTTCGGTTCCTCCCACACTGTACTTCTGACGTCTCCGCCTGACCTCTGACACTGTATTCTGCTATTATTTTTTCCTCTCTCAATAGAAATAGAAAGGCTCGCCTATCGTAGGATTCGCACCCCTCCCCGGTTTTTTGAACAGGTGTCGAGGTTTATCTTTTGTTCTCCGTTCAGAATTGGGTTTTCTTTTAAATCTGCTGCAACTCTATACTTCTTAATCTCCGGTAACCTTAATCAGTAATTAAATCTTGAACGCTTCAAGTCTAGAATTATTGTCTTTCCAGTATACCTCAAGAACTCTACTTCATGTCTTTTCTTACGCTAATACAGCTCCACACAGTAACACTCTGTCTTGAGTGGCTCTTGGGTCTTGAGCATTAGTAAATAAATAAATAAATAATTTGTTCTGTTAATTTTCGTTTGGTTTGGTTTGGTTTTATCCTTTCTTTCCCGCCTAACAGAACAAATCGCCGCCATTTTTTTCTTTTCTCTTTCCAATCTTTCTCTCTTTCCTCACCTTTGTTTTTTATATATTTTTCTCGTTTTCGTTGCTTTTGTTGCTTTCTGTCAGTCTCTGTCTGTCTGTCTGTCTGTTGCTTCGTTGGTCCGCCTCTGTCTGTCGTCTCGAGTAACCTAAGTAGGTCACTGTCGGCTTCGTCTTTTGATGTTTGTTTGACATTAATAGAACAGTGTTTTTGGCCACGAACATGGGTACAAACGAGTGGCTTTTTTTTTGGAGGGGGGGAGTTGAGGGTGGATGTCGTGACGGGGGCACTGATTAAAGAAAGTGAGAACACTGAGATATAGAGATTTATAGGGAAGGGAGAGAGCAGGGAGGATACAGAATTGGAGTGGTAGCTGTAGGAGTGATTGCAAAGGAAGTTGCCGAGCTTGAGAGAGATCAAGAGAGAGTGATGAAGAAAGTGACCAAGAGAGAGAGAGAGAGAGAGAGATAAACAGAGAGAGTGGGTACTGACGATGTTGGTGGCGGGTTGCAAATAGTGCGGGACGAGTAACAGAGGGGAAGAAATAAGAAAAGAATTTAAGGGGAAAGAACGAAGAAAGAAAGAAAAGAAAGAAAGAAAGAAAGTAAGAACAAAGAAGAAAGAAAGAAAGAAAGAAAAGAAAGAAAGAAAGAAAGAAAAGAAAGAAAGAACAAAGAAAGAAGAAAGAAAGAAGAAAGAAAGAAGAAAGAAGAAAGAAAGAAACAACAGCGAAGAAAGAAAGAACAAAGAACAAAGAAAGAACAAAGAAGAAAGAAAAAAGAAAAGAAAGAAAGAAAGAAAGAAAGAAAGAAAGAAAGAAAGAAAAAAAAAAAAACAAATGAAAGAAAGAACAAAGAAAAGAGTAAAGACAAAGAAAAAAATGACTTTTTCTTAAGGAGAGTGGGTTTGTATTTTAAGGGGTGGCGATTACGACCTTTGTTGACGAGTGAAATAAATAGCTGCTTGAGGTGTTACGTAGAAGGAGTTTTTGTGAGGAGTGTCAGGGGCGAAGTGAGAGGTAAAATTGCAAAGTGGGTGAGTGAGAAGTAAAAGTAAGACTAAAAGAGTAATGGGTTCCGTTTGATATTTTCTCTCACAATTTTCCTCTCTCTTTCACACATATCTCTTCTTCACACACACACACACTCTCTCTCTGTCACTGTCTGTCTCCCTATCTCTCCCCTTCTCTCTCTCTCTCTCTCTATATATATATATATATATGGCAATCGCTTGATTAGTGCGGCTAATGTGTACTTTAAAAGATACGCACTTATCGATAACGCATTAATCGAATAATAATTTACAAGAAATGATGTAATTTGTACCTCAAATTTTAGAATCATTCATAATAATTAATTCCTACTTTGCGTACTTTTTAATTAAAATATAGGTACATATAAGAAGATAGAATAAAAATGCAAGGAATTATGCTTATTAATCTGAGTTTTTGAAAAACTTATTTCGAGTCATTTGCTGTATGGTATTCTTGTTCTTCATAGAATTGGCGGTACAGAGAAATTGCCTCTTCAAATTTTCCAAACATAATCTTTAATATTTTAACCTAAAAACTTGATTTATAGTCTTTCCATAGTAAATGCATACATCTTTTATATTTTAATATTTTTTAATAAATGTAAATTTCTGTATCGAATTAAATCGTCCATTTTTTTTTTTTTTTTACAAAAAATCAGAAATTTCTTTTTAAGACCTTCAAAATAAAAATGCAAAAAAATTCAAAATATCCCCCCAAAATTAATAGGGACAAATATTAAAATATGTATTTTTATTATCCGCTTATATTATAAAAATTATTTATTTATAATTGTCCATTTTTTTTAACACTAATCTAATTATTGAGATTACTTAACACACAAGCTAGCCATTTTCCATTTTTAAAGTTTAGAAAATTTTTAATTATTCGGTAACTATAAAAAATGAATTTTCAATTACTATGGTTAAATTGAAGAAAGTTTTACCGAATTAATGGAGTATTATGTAAGCACTAATCGAATTTTGGAAGATAAAAATTTTGGCACACTCATCAAAAACGCATTGAGGCATTCCTGTGTATATATATATATATATATATATATATATATATATATATATATAGGTTTATCAAAGTATATAATTGGTGTATACAGAATGAATTCCAATAACCAACAATTGCTATTCTTAAAAAGTGCTCAATCCAAAGTAGAGCAGATATAATTATTTATTTAATATATATATATATATATATATATATATATATATATATATATATAAAATGGACAAAGTCCGCCAATTATTTTAAGACATTTTTATATTTATTTTAAAGTAATTGTCGGACATTCCTGATATGTGACGTCATTTGTTTACATTTGGATACGCATCGAGCAGATATGAATGTATAAGAGAAAATCATGGAGAATTGTAGTTTTAAAACAGTAACATCGACCTTATTAACCGAAACGCTCCTCTGTGGCTCAATCGGTAAAGCACCTCAGGCTATATGACAGTTCCGTATAGGACACAGGTTCGATTCCTGTCGGAGAACACATATATTCTATGAAAATTTCTCGGACATTCAGGCCGGTAAATGTCATTAATACTGTTTATTATAAACAGAGCATTTACTTAAATGTTTGTATCTTTAAAAAAAGAACCTAAAAAATGTCTTTATATATATATATAATATATATAAGATAATAAACTTGTATAATTTCCCTCTATTCTCCATATTAATCCAATCTTGTAACAGTTCCCTAATTAATGTAACGCCCCTTTGATTAAATTTTTACTTTAATATTTTTCTCTTTATGAATTTCGCGTATAGCTTGCTCTTCCTAATACTTAAACTGATCCTTAACGTGATAAATGGATAATTTATCCTAAACTTAATTTGTTTTATCTTTAACACCCCTCCCCATTTAATTAATAATAAAACTCCTTAATTCTATTCTATCACTTCTTTATATTGTCTAAATACACTTTATTGTTAATCCTATTAAAACATATTTATTGTTAGTATAGTTTGGTATTCCATAGCGGGACACTAAATTCCTTTATGTATAATTAGAGGATTTGGTCATAAATAAACTCCCATTTCGACCTCTCTTTTAGTTCCAATTCAACATTTCCACTCTTCATTTAACGAACCCCAACCTCAGATCGTAAAGTAAATATCAGGGTCGATTCCAGCGACCTCTACCCTTTTAGAGAGATACCTCAGACTCTCCACTCACCACCAACTCAGGCTCTTTATCGAGATGAGGCATCATTTTGGGTAGGTTGGTATCTTTTCCTTGATTGGTATCTAAATTAAATTCCAAATCCCTGATTCCCAGACGTATTCAATGCAGAGCCGAAATAGACTATACCCACAATTTGGGATTATATATATATATATATATATATATATATATAATATAAAAGGCTCAAACACTAATATTCCATGGTTATTATTTATTACAGTGGAATCGTAATCAAGATCCAATTCATCAGACCTACAAATTCCGATTTCTTTTTGAATTTGTAGGTCTGATGAATTAAATCGTGATTACGATTCCAATGTAAAAAATATAACCATGGAATATTAATTTTGATATATATATTTCTTTCTCTGTCCTAGACATTGAGTTCAACCTGGATTCTCTTGGAAATTTATATATATATATATATATATATATATATATATATATATATATATATATAATATAAGTCAACACATATTTATAAGTCAACACTTATATATATAAGTCAATGCTATATGCAATCGTCAGGCCTGACGATTGCATATAACATGAAACAAACTGTCGCCTCTAAGTGTTGACTTCTATGTTCACTTTTATATTTACACACGCTCTATCTCTGATATTGAGCACTTTATTCCATAAATATAGCACACCTTAAGACTATATTTCTTTATATATATATATATATATATATATATATATATATATATATATATATATATATATATATATTGACCACTAATATAATATAATATATATATAATTATTTATTCGAAAATTATAACAAATATGTTATAAAATCACTACAAAATAGCCATTTGTTTCAACACTTCTGGTGTCTTATCAAGTGATGATATTGAATGTAGAATAAAGGGTTTTAAAATATTCAAATCAATATATATATATATATATATATATATATATATATTCAAACAGGTTTGGTTAAATAATTTAGATATATCATGTCGATTAGTTTTCGTTGTGATCCTTTCAAATCCGCATTTTAATTTTTTGGTAGGTATAGGAAATTGAGTAAGAAAAATACCAACATTTTCTTTCGAATAGTTTTATGTGCCCAAGTAGTTTCTATCTCACCTGAGAACATCTTCAGATGGTTAAGTTGTCTGTGGTATATATATATATATATATATATATATATATATATATATATATATATATGTGTGTGTGTGTGTGTGTGTGTGTGTGTGTGTGTGTTAAGTAAAGTTAAAACATTTCAACATTTAAATTCACACACACACACTTAAACCTACCACACACACACACACACACACACACATATATATTAAATAGAATCGAAATCCAAATTTACCATATTCGATTAACTATTTCAACCAACAGGAAGACCAATATTGTCATTGCCAATTCAGAAGTGTGATGGAATAAAATAGGAACTTAAAATTTAAACATTGGTGCTTGCTCAACACCGACAGAGCCTACCTGTGGTTTATACTGTAATTATACTAAGCAGGACTTAGTTACAGTTTCTGAGAGAGAACGTGATGAAAAATCTGAAACAAGGCCAGCACACTCAAGCCCTCGGACACGATGACATGTGGCTTTGTGCTAGCACAGCTATCGAAGGTCCTCAAGAGTTACGTCTAATCAATTTCACTCATAAGGCTTGGGTCAACCCGTGATATAGTTTTCAGACACTTTCCAAAGATGCCGTGCGCTGGGATCGACCTTAATTCAGTTCGATATCAGGAAGTTGCCTTCCTGACAAATCAACCTGGGTCTCATAGTCAGAAATCGAACGTCCTAACCACTCAGAGACGTGTCCATTTATTTACATTCGGGTACGCATTGAGCAGATATGAATGTACGAGAGGAAATCAGGGAGAATTGTAGTTTAAAACCAGATAAAAAAAAATTGACCTTGCTAACCGAACCGCTCCTCTGTGGCTAAATCGGTAAAGCATGTCAGGCTATATGACGGTTCCGTAGAGGATACAGGTTCGATTCCTGTCGGAGGTCGTATATTTTCTATGAAAATTTCTCGGACATTCAGGCCGGTAAATGTCGTTCATACTGTTTATTATAAACAGAGCATTTACCTAAATATTTGTATCTATAAAAAGAATATATATATATATATATAATTATTTATTTAAAAATATGATTCCAACACGCTACATAAGAGTTCTCATGTTTCAAAACAAGAGCCGAAAACTTCAATATAATTATTTGAATTAAAGTACTAAGATCTGTTCCATCTTCTTCCGCTTTAAATTTAGACACCCCAACCTTACCCTGACTTGACATCTGTGAATGTAACCGAGATACTGATACAAATTATTAACACCTTACGCCCCTTTTTCTTTAAACAATTGCTCTAGCCGTTACCATAGAAATTTTGATTTTAATAATGAATATGCTTATAAAACACGTAAAAAATATTTCGCTTGAAGATGGAACAGAGCTTTCTTTAATTCAATTTAATTCAAATAATTATATTGAAGTTGTTATGTTGTCGGCTCTTGTTTTGAAACATGAGAACTCTTATGTAGCGTGTGGGAATCATATTTTTAAATAAATAATTATATTTATGTTCTACTTTTGTATCGAGAACTATTTTTAAAAAAATAATAACAACAATACTAAAGAACTTTGGATTATTTACCTGACGAGTGCTTTCCTATTTTCTACATATTTTTCACACACACACACACACACACACACACACACACACACACATATATATATATATATATATATATATATATATATATATATATATATATATAGTGCTACAAAAATAGGTATACAGTAATTAAATACATCGTTTGCACATCGTAAGAAGTCCACCGGAGTGAGATCCGCCGAATTTATGTACGTACTCCTGTCGTCCACATTCGATATTAGCTTCCTCCAAAGATTCGCTAAAAAATGAACATACATTTGATGAAAAAATGCCCCAAACATATTAAAAACAAAATTTTATCGTCAAAATCTTATTATTAAGAGAAAACACCATTTTTTATTATTAAATTGTAATTTTTTAGAAAGTTCGAAATTTTGGTTTACGGTTTTGGTTTTCTTGCAACAGCGAAGTGACCATAATTGAAAATGTTAATGTACATTTGGGCTAGAAAACACGTGGATTTCTTTCGGAAATTCTTGCAAAAAATCAGATGTTTCTTGGATTTCCCATAAAATTTTCAGTACGTATACACTAAGGAATGAAATTATTTAAGAAGGTTTTTTTTTTAAGAAATTATCTCCGATTGACGTCAATTCATTCGGGTTTCGATCCTAGCGAAAGGCAACCGGATGTCTAGCCACACTGATAAGCTGTGATACAGCTAAACAGTCTCTGTTGATGACAATATATATGATCCTGAAAAATTTATTTCGGTTGAAGTCTCTTGGGAGGAAGTGTGGATTTGTAAACAGTGACTATTACGGCTAATAATGCAAGACTCTTTGGTAAATCGATTCGAGTTCTCTCATCACTGTGTGTTTATGTAAAAATAAATACGCTTAAATTCACCTTCATCCCTATCGTGCGCCAACAGATTAGTGGTAGAATCTCTAACTGACGCCAATTCAGCCGAGTTTCGATCCTAGCTAGAGGCGACCGGACGTCTAGCCACACTGATGAGCTGTGATGCAGCGGAAGAGTCTGTCTGTGGATGACAATATAAAGGTAATTATAGATATATATTTTTATATATCTATTACCCTTCACTTATTTAATTTCATGAAACTTCTAGAAATTATTTTTGTTCCGTGAGAGGGGAAAATTCTCAGCAATATTGCCTTCATCGGACCATCCCAGATTATCTATCTATCTATCTATCTATCTATCTATCTCATTCTGCTCATATCTATCTATCTATCTATCTATCTATCTATCTATCTATCTCATTCTGCTCATATCTATCTATCTATCTATCTATCTATCTATCTATCTATCTATCTATCTATAAACTTATTTAAGTGAGTACACTTATCTTTGTGCCAAGAGTGAGAGGTTCTGCTAAATAAAGTTAATGCCCCCGACAAGAATCGAACCCTTATCCCGTTAGCCACATTCTATAGCCGAAACGCACCTTTACCAATTTGGACACGGAAGCTGCGTTGATAGACATAAGTTAAACTTCACAATCTAGGCCGGTTGTTATCGATGTCACCCTTGAAGAAAATAAACATAATAATCAGGGACATCAAAGGTGTCTACCCCTTAGAAATAATGTTTAGAGCTGGGCTCACCAAATCGTTTTCCTCAGAGAGCCAGATTACTGAGAGAATGATGAGTGTAGGCCGGATAACCATTTTGTTCAATACAAAACGCTAAATAGACGAGTAATAGAAACAACAAACATATTTATTTACCAAAAATTTATCAAAGAAAGCGGCATAAGCAATAAAATAGTTATATCCACATCCAGTGTACACATGTCTGATTCTCACAAACAAAGCAATCAAAAATGCTACTGAAATTTGTGAAACTGTCATTTATATTTTAAGATATAATCAATATTTGCTTTAGAATTGCTGCATCCAACCAAGAAAGTGGCTTTCAAATGTTTGTCAATCAACTTTATTACATTTGCTGACTTTACATACTTTAAATTTTATAATGGATTCAGACAAAATATATGACATAATTGGCTGAAGTCAATCCTTTTTATATGCAGCAAACTTCCAACTAGTTTAAACACGACAATGCAAGTTAAAACATGGCGGCTTCAGCAGTCCCATAATCGCTTTTCTTAGAAACTTAATTGCAGGTACATGAAAAGTGCTCAGATATCAAAATTCGCTGAATTTTTTATTTTACAGATGCTCCTAAATAATTGTCATGCAAAAATCAGATTGGCCAAATTTTAGCATTTTTACTTACATTTATTTTAATGTTTCTACATAGTGAAACCCCGTATCCTCACCCCACTGGACCCACGTATTCCACAAGGCCGGCCGCTGGTCCGGTATGGTCCAGTATTACAGGTTAGACACAAGTGTCCGGTCCCCAATGTCAATTCGAAGCCATCCTCCAGCCACGTTGTAATTGTTTTGATCCTGGACAGTGGTCATCAGATCGTAGAAATCCGGAAGCTCTCCGTTGGTCCACCTGCGAGTTCGTCGGGTGAGAATCGGGTTAACAGAAAAATAAATATATCAAAGTCGATTCGATTTTGCAACGACAAAATTTTTATATATATAAATATATATAAAAGCAAACACAAAAAAAATAATTCTTGTTGCACAAGGTTGAATGTTTCTTGTATGTGAACAATAACCAAACACAAATAATTTCGCTAAAGGAGAGATGTGGCCTTTCGTTTTAACCCTTTTTGGTCTGTTCTTAGCGCAACTACTACAACCTTCGATGTCGCCGTTCTCGGTAGTAGTAGTAGTAGTAGTAGAAGTAGCTGTACTTAGATGTTAACGGTGGTATTTCGCTTCTTCGCTCTCAGCTTCAGCCACACACAGCTGACGTCTCTTTACTCAGTTCGACTGCATTCGAAGATAGACGAACCCAAAACTCTCTTTCCTCCGGTTGGCTCGCCTCTTTATTAAGAGAACCGGTCTCACGTGTCCCAGACTGGTGACGTATCTGTTTTTCTAGTGCGAACGTACTGATATACTACCAAAGTACAACTTCACTCCTCTGAGAATAAACAATTTACTTTTTCATCGATTGGTTTTCAAGTTTCACAACAAGACACTATTTTTTATCACCTCGCTATTAATTATTCTGCCGCTCTTTGTAAACTACAGAGATTCTTGTTTTAAAAATAAATTCTAGATCAAAACATTTTTAATTTTAATTTATATTCTTATAGTGTCAAAACCCATTTCTTTTCTTTTTAAGTTACAGATTATTATTGTTCCAGTAATTTTCTATTAGTACTCTGGTATCCTTTGTACACTTACAAAAAGATTGTATTTCGTGTTCTAAAGTAACTTTTTGTAAAATTTACATTTCAGAGTCTTTACAGCACATTAACATCTTGGTTATTTGAAAACGCCTCTCTTCACTTGGTGTTTTCTGTTTTACAGCATATTCTCCTTTATTATCATAATTATTATTATTTCAGGGATGATATCGCTCCTGCCACATCAGTAAGTTTAACTATTGATAATTCCATATAAATAGTTAGTATGACTTAGTGTAAACAAACAATAGAGAATCAAATAAGTGTAGTTGTTTGACTGAATTTGAATAATGCTTATTGATTGGACTTTGTGATCTAGGTAAGGCAATCTCTATATTGGCCAGCCTCCCAATTATACAAGATTTGAATTCAAACCTCATTGAAGGTAACTACTTAATTTCAAAACTATACTGTTTATTAGTAGTTAGAAAATTAAAAAGAAAATGATAGACTAGTTAAAAATAATTTCATCTACACAAGAAATAAAGACAACATATTTATTTGCCAAAATATCATCAAAGAAGGCGATATTAGCAATAAAATATTGAGTTGGCAACTAAGTTCCCGCTGTTTTTTTCCTTAATTTAAATTTTTTAAAAGGTTTAATAAAAAAAATAACAACTAATTAATCAATAATGTATTTCCCCTTGTTATTTACAACTTCTTCCCAACGTTCGTCAAGATTTTCAATACCTCGTTGTTAGAAATCACCCTGTTTCGACTCATCCATCCAAGCTCTCAATTCTGCGTCAGTATTGAACGAAATTCCACGCATTACATTTGAAAGAAATCGAAAAACGTGGACATCTGTTGGTGTTAAATCGGGAGAGTACGGCTGGGACGTGCAGCCATTCAAACGTACGGCTGGGACGTGCTGCCACACCGGCAGCACGTCCCAGCCGTACGTTTGAATGGCTTCCTTGGTTCTATTAGCGATATGAGGCTGGGTGTTGTGGTGCAGCAAAAGAACTCAATGCTGCCGATTAGGTCTTCTCTCTTGAATAGCCGTGTTGAGTCATTCCATCTGTTGAACATAGAGTTCCGTGTTGACCGTTTGGTTCCGTTCAAGCAATTCGTAATGGATACTCCCTTCCCAGTCCCAGCATACGCACAACATCTTTTTTACGCGGATGAAGATCTTGTTTTAACGCGCCTTGTCGCTTGTTTACCGGGGCTAAGCCATTCCTTGCAATTCTTCATATTGATGTACAGGCACCATTTTTCGTCGCCAGTAACGATTCGGTAAAGAAATCGTTGCTTGTGTCCATGGTGAGCGGTGACGAAAAAAGCAAAAAAAGGAGATTGTGGCTCGTTGATTTTTGTTATCACTTAAAGCATGCAGAACCCATGCTCCACACTCCTGAACCTTTCCCATCAAGGGAAGATGCTTCTCTTTAGCAGTGTGGGAGCGTTCCATTTTCTCTGCTAATTCTCTTGTCGTTTGACGAGAATTTTCGTGCTGAATTTGGTTTAATTGCTCTTCATCGAACTCAACTGGACGGTCAGAACGAGGTGCGTCTTTGAGGTCAAAATTTCCATTTTTGAACTTGGCATACCAATCACGAGCGGTTCTTTCAGCTATGGCATCCTCTCTATACACAGCACAAATGTCGCGAGCAGCTTTTGCAACCTTAGAACCTTAATTAAAAGCAAAAAGAAGGTGTCGAAAATGCTTATTTTTGTAAACTTGAAATTCCATTTTAATGATCTGAAAATAAACAGAAATTAACTTAAATTAACTCGAGAAGAAAAATATTCTAAAATGATTCCAAAATAGAATTCTTGAAAAAAATAAATTCCAAAATTTAAAAAAAAACGCCCGGGAATTTAGTTACCGACCTAATAGTTATCAGGGAAGCAAGTAAGAGGAAGGGAATTTCACTGTTGGGAAGTGCGAGCGAAGAAGCTGTTGGAGTAGGAAGAGGCCGTTATATTTAACCGTTTCGACAGTGAAAAAGTGAGACCGTTATGCCAACCTAGTAGCACGCTTCAATTCATGCAGTTGGGGCACCAGTTTGAGCAGATGCCATGGAAATATTTGTAGAAAAGAACAGAGGGAAGTTATATTACGTCAATGAGAAAGTAACTGGAGTCGAGACCCAAAGTCAGGACCGAACACAATGCACGTCCGTCTTTGAATTTTGTCAAGAACCTCAAGATGAACAGCGAGGGCACCAGACCATCGAATAGTAGATTTGTACATGTTAAAGATGGACTCAGGCGAGGAAAACTTTCTGGTGCGACACAGAGAATCAATTTTCCTTGTGGTAGATGAAGGTCGTAATCGCTTTTATTAGAAATCTCATTGCAGGTACTTACACAAAAAACGCTCGGATATCAAAAGTTGTCGAATTTTTAATTTCACTGATTTTCCTAAAATTTATATTACTCTCAGATTGGCCAAAATTTTGGCATTTTTACTTATATTTATTTTAATTTTGTAAATGACCATTTGTCCTCAGAGAATAAAAGTTCTGTAATTTATAAATTAGTCACCGACCCAATAGTTATATTACTCCAAGTGTGCACATATTCGATTCTCAAAAACTCAGCAAAAAAGTTCAGTGAGATTTGTGAATCTGGTATTGAACTTTTAAGATATAACCAATATTTGCTTTAGAATTACTGCATCCAAATAAGAGAAATGCTTTCAAATATTTACCAGACGAACATGTGCTGAGTTTATACTTTGGAGTTTATAAGTACAGGCAAATTCGCTGAAGTCGGTCCTTTTTATATACAGCACTCTTCAAACCAGTTTAAACATAGCAATGTAAGTTAAAACATAATTGCTGCAGCAGGCTTGTAATCGCTTTTTTTTAGAAACTTCATTGAAGGTACTTACACAAAAATCGCTTTGGTATCAAACGTTGCACAAAATTCCGAATTTTTTATTTTACTGATTTTCCTAAAATTTATCTTACTGTGGGAAGCAAAATAAAGATTGGACAAATTTTGGCATTTTACTTACATTTAATCTATTGATAATTTCATATCAATAATTAGAGTTTAGCTCATTTGAAGTTAAACTATAATTTATATAAACTATATATTGATGTCGACAATAGAAATAAAATTGTTATTATGACAAACCAAATGAGCACATATCCGAATCTCACAAACTAAGCAGCACAAAAGATTAGTGAGATTAGTGAAACTGGTGTTTACCTTTTAGATATGATTAATATTTGCATTATTTACATTATTCAGACTATTGTCCTCATCTTTGTCGCCATACTTATCACAACGTTTGGGCCGTTGTACGCTCCGGCCTTCTTCAGGTGGTTGGAATTTCGAACTGAAAACTTTATTTCTCTCACTGGGATAGACTTTTCTAGTCCCACGTGCCATGTTTGATGGATGTCAGTTATCAGTTATCTCCTGCTAATTTCCCTCTGAAAGTTCTCCACTGCCTTAACCGGGTATTGAACTCACACTCTTTGGGTCCTGTCACTGGATCTAACCAACGCCTTTATCCACTGTGTCATGTGTCCTTGAAATAAAGGGTTAAGTTCGAAATTCCAACCACCTGAAGAAAGCCGGATCGTACAACGGCCGAAACGTTGTGATAAGTATGGCGACAAAGATGAGGACAATAGTCTGAATAATGTAAATAATGTAGATAATACCTCATCTCAGAAATATAGACAGACTCTGATTAATATTTGCTTTGGAATTGCATTCAAACAAGAGAATTTCATTCAAATGTTCACCAGACAACCTTATTACATGTGCTGGTTTTGCCTATTTTAGATTTTATAAGGAGTCCAGACAAAATATATGACATAATTCGTTATTCCTTTTATATATACGACACTTTTCAAACCGGTTTAAACACAGCAATGCCAGGTAAATGATAACCATTGCAACAGGCTAACAAACCCTTTTGTTAGAAACTTTATTGTAGGTACTTACACAAAAAGCGCCCGGATATCGAAAGTTACCGGATTTTTTATTTCGCTGATTTTCCTAAAACATTCAGAAGTAAAAATCAGATTGGCCAAATTTTGGTATTTTTACTTATATTTATTTTAATTTTGTACATGACCGTTTGTCATATGTGTATAAAACTTCTGTAATTTATAAATTTAAATGTCAGTGCGCAGCTGAATATATAGAACGAACGTGTCTAAGCTTGGAAACTCGGTTAGGTCAACACATACCTGCATTTATTAGATTGAATCCTCATAATCCCACACGTGTTCTGGAATCTGTGCATGAATCTACGATTGGACAACACATTTTAAAGAATGAGCAATACGCTTCCAAATTTTTCTATCAACGGATTCTCTATTTTGTATAAGGCTTGTTCCAAACAGCATTTTCAAATGTTGGAAGCTGTATGTATTAAATTACAGGAACCCTTTTTTATATAAGCAAAAAGAGAATTTTCTTCTGTCAATTCATTTATTTAATGGATTTCTTTCATATTTTACATTCACGCTGGAGTGTTTACAATTTTTTAATTTACGTATATTTTAATACATTTTTTTGTATATTTTAGACGTACTCCAATTCTTCCGCCATATTACTTATCTATTCATACGAAATTTGATACAATAATTTTGCCAACGTTGGTCCCTGAAGAAGTGATGGCCGAAAGACGCCTTGGTTTTAAAAAAAAACAAATCACTGAACGGTGTTAGTTTAAAACAATTTTCATTTTTTTCCACATTGTAAGTTTAAATAAAATCTAATGAAAATTAATGAGCACACAGCCGAGTGGTTAGAAGATTCGCATTCCGACTATGTGACCCGGGTTCTAATCTCACCATGGTAGATTTGTCAGGAAGAAGATTTTATCGGTCTGGAGGGATCTATCCCAGAGTACGGCACCTTTGGAAAGTGCATTGTAGACGGAACGAAATCACACAGACATCGTGGACGAGCATGCTGGCCTTGTTCAAATTGTTGATCACGCTAGATAAGACGCTTTTGCCCCAAAACTGTAACTAAGGTCTGCCCAGAATAGTTGCAGTATAAACCACAGGTGGGTTCTGTGGGTTTTGAACAAACATAAATATGCTTGAGCAAGCGTCTGCAATAGGGATTGGTTAGCCGCCCTAGTAGACGGGTATGCTCGAATATGGGTGGCCAGCTATGCATTGATATTTTCCATAGAAATAATAATATTTTAGCTCATTTGTAGCACAGTGCTATGACGGGTCGGATGAATTGACATCGTTGGTGACACCTGGTTTAGATGAAGAAGAAATGTTGTCGAAAAAAATAAATCCGTTTAAAAATGACTATTGTTTAAATTTAGAGTATGAAATTAAAGCTAGCAAATATAGACTCGTGAAAGCGCCAACGAGAGATAAGTGTTCCTTAGATGGATAATTCAGACATTGTTGCATCAAGATAATCTCCCGTGTCCAAATTGGTAGCGTTTCGGTTACAGCAGCGATTTCTCTGGTGGAAAAAAAAGAACACAGTTTCGATTCTTTAATCTTTCTTAAACAGGATATCTCGATCGAGGCCGATTGTTATTAACTTCATTGTTTAATAAAAAAAAGACAACGAAAAAAGCAAAAAGCATGGATATCAACACAAACATGTATACCTTGAACAAAATAACGTTTTTATATATTGCAGACAAGAGCATGGGCGCGAACGCATACACACATAGACATGATATGAAGAAAAAATTGCATCAACGATAAGTGCATATAAAAAAAAGAAAAAATCGATAAATATAAGCAGTCAATTCATTATAACCTCTGACGAGTGGACGGATGGGTCCGTAGATGAAACACTGGAGCCTGGATCCTGATGAAAATCTGCTAAGTGACAAAACTTACTAATATTAATTATATATATATATATATATATATATATATATATATATATATATATATATATGTGTGTGTGTGTGTGTGTGTGTGTGTGTGTGTGTGTGTGTGTTTAGGCAGCAATCCTTCTTTCATGCACATTTCATTGAATACGACAGACAAGGTGCTTTTATATAGTTTTCTATACAATTTCTCATGCGATCTAATATGTTTTTCTTTTCGGATGATAAATTATATAAAAACTATCCGAATGTTCTTTTTATCCGAGCGCTTTCGGCTATACATTTAGCTATTTTCAAGGATTAAATATTTTAACTGTTAAATAAGAAATACTTTGTTGGATGTTTTCATTTTTCAAAACACGGTCAATATATTGTGTCCATGTTCAAAGTTAATATTATTAAGTGTTGGTCTTTTGTTTTTGTTAATAAGGCTTCCATTATTTTTAGCTTTTTTCCCATTATTTTTAGCAGAATTAAGAACATTATAAAAAAAATGTATAACACCAGTTGTCAACAGCAAAAAAAATTAAATTAATTATTCATTACAAAAAAAAAAAAAAACCTCTATCCTTATATTTTAAAATAATAATGTGGATGACAATATATTCTCCTGAAAAAATTAATTCAGTTCAGCACTTTAGGGAGGAAGTGTGGGTTTCTAATAATGCAATAAATCGAATCAAGTTCTCTCAGTCACTGTGTGTTTATCCAAAGATAAATACGCCTAAATTCACTTTCATCTCTGCTGTGTGTCAACGGCTTACTGGTAGAATCACGACTGACGCCGTTTCAGTCGGGTTTCGATCCTAGACGCAACCGGATGATAGCTACACTGATGAGCGGCGAAGCAGTCTGTCTGTGGATGACTATATATATATATATATATATATATATATATATATATATATATATATATATATATATATATATACACTAACAGGCTTCGTTCGCTACCGCTTTGCAAATTAAGATATATTCACTATTTGACATCTTTGAAACAAAAATTTTAAATGAACATTTCATTCATAAATTGGCTTGTTATAGTTATGGAAAGTTTTACAAATAGATGCCAACTTGTTGAAGGCCAAGTAAAATGCTAATTTCAAACACTTTTCTCCACTATAAAAGACAATATTTCTAAACGGAAATCTTTTTGATGAGAAAATCACAATCCTCGAATAAAAGAACAAGGGCAGTTAATTAATAAAATAAATATTTTTTAAATCAATATGCAAATTAGTTAAACCTGAAGAGTGATATTGCCTAGACGTAGATAATATATGATGCAGATATTGAGTAGACGGTATACTTTAGTCGGGATCCTGATGACAATCTGGTTGGTGACAAAACTCTTATTGATAATGTTTAATGAAACATGCATATATATATATATATATATATATATATATATATGTTTCATTAAAGCGACAGACAAGGTACCACTGTTAAGATTTTTATTTAATTTTTCTTGTGTTCGAACAAGAACTTTCTTTTCTGGACAAAGAATGCGTAAAAACTGTCCAAATGTTTTATAGTTCCGAATGAACCATGCATAAACGAAGGATTGCTGCCTAAATATACAACTTTATATATATATATATATATATATATATATATATATATATATATATATATGGCAGCTTCTTTACATTAAGATATGTCTCATTAAATCATTTCTTGAAGCTATCTATATCAAAAAATTGAAAACAACTCATAAAAATAATTATGAATACTGCATAAATGTTTACCGAAAATAATCTATACGTGACGCGGAAGCGAAAATCGCGTCGTCACACATGACCACGCGAGAGTGAAAACGAGAAGTATTAAGTATGGGAAGTCGTTGGTATAAACCAATGGCTTCTGTTGTCAAGGCATTTAAGAATATTTGTGGAGATTTCATAGTTTATTTTGTTCAGGTTAGGTTTCAACTGTTTCATGACAATATGAAACGAACTTAAAATAAATAGACAAAACTTGTCTATATTATTTAATGAAACATGCATCAACACACACACACACACACACACACACACACACACATATATATATATATATATATATGAAAATTTCTCTGATTTAACCAGTAGAGACAATATTTATGAATAAAAAAAATGACAATAGGAAAACTGGTAATTGCTGACGCGTTTCGTCCAATGTGGACTTTATCAAAGCAAAATACGTACGAAACGCGTCAGCAATTACCAGTTTTCCTATTGTTATTTTTTATATATATATATATATATATATATATATATATATATATATATATATATATATATATATATTGTATTGGGGCAACAGATCATTATTTAAGCGTATATTATAAAATATAATAGACAATGAATGTCTATTATGTCTGACCATGAGCCGTTCGAATGTTTGGTTTAATATCTGGAGAAAATAAAGACAAAAATTGTCCAACATTTTATATATTTTTTTAAATCCAGCAAGGTAGCACTACCAGCTCTGTGCCCTCACCAACAAATTCAAGTGATTTTTCTAATCAGAGTGAATTTTCCGAGCTGCCGTACCTTCGTAATCACCATTAGATTCATCCAACTCTTTCCGAATCATCTGCACTGTCCTCAGATTGACACCCAAACACTCTGAAATGTTCGTATTGGAGCTTCTGGTGCGAATGCGAAGCATTACAGTATGCCATTTCCGAATTTCTGGCTGGGTGAATTGCATTATGGTGTACTTTTTCTCACAGACAGTGTGCAGGTTTTTGTGCAGACGACCAAATCAAAAGCAAACAACGCGCATGCGCTAAATTAAAAATATAAAATGGCGATAATTCGCCCTTCGCATCCTGTATTAGTTTTATATTCAATCATAAAACATCTAGTAGCGCTAAACGATCACCCATCTAGGTACTGACCAGATTCGGCGTTGCTTAACGTCGGTGATCAGATGAGAACCGGTATTTCAATGTGATATCACCATTATACGAACCTAGAAAACATTATTCTGATATACAGAATTCTATATTCCGCCACACACACACACACACACACACACACACACACATATATATATATATATATATAAAGAAATATAGTCTTAAGGTGTGCTATATTTATGGGATAAAGTGCTCAATATCAGAGATAGGCGTGTGTAAATAAAAGTGAACATAAGTCAACACTTAGAGGCGACAGTCTGTTTCATGCTATATGCAATCGTCACCACGTGTGTATTATTTTCTCGGCTATTTATATATATACGGGTTAGTGGTGCATTTGGTATTCTATTACTTTTATATTTACATATATATATATATATATATATATATATATATATATATATATATATATTATTATGAAATGGACAAAGGTCGGTAAATGTTGTTTTAATACTGTTTATTATAAACAGAGCATTTACTTAAATATTTGTATTTATAAAAACAATGTATAAACATAAAAAAATGTCTTAAAATAATATATATATATGTGTGTGTGTGTGTGTGTGTGTGTGTGTGTGAGTTGAATTTCGTTCACACGCCAATTGCTTGCAGGCAAAACTATTCAAAGAAAGGCGTTCCATTCTTCAAATAAAATCTGGAATGGTCCGATGAAGACAAAAATTGCTGAGAATTTGACCCACCCACGCAACAAAAATTTGACATTCATACAGCGCATATCAATTGTCATTTCCACTTCAGAAGAACAAATATCAAATCTATCTATCTATCTATCTATCTATCTATCTATCTATCTATCTATCTATCTATCTATCTAATCATTTCAATCATCTCTCTCTGTCTGTCTATTCGTATCTATCTCATTATTCTATTCTCTCTGCCTATCTATCTATCTATCTATCTATCTATCTATCTATCTATCTATCTATCTTATGTATCTGTCTATCTCAGTTCATATCTCTCTTAGTTCATATCTATCTCTCTATCTATCTATCTATCTATCTATCTATCTATCTATCTATCTATCTATCTAATCATTTCAATCATCTCTCTGTCCGTCTATTCGTATCTATCTCATTATTCTATTCTCTCTGCCTATCTATCTATCTATCTATCTATCTATCTATCTATCTATCTATCTATCTATCTTATGTATCTGTCTATCTCAGTTCATATCTATCTATCTATCTCATTTTGTCAATATCTATCTCATTCTGCTCATGTATCTGTCTATCTATCTCAGTTCATATCTATCTATCTATCTATCTATCTATCTATCTATCTATCTATCTATCTATCTATCTATCTATCTAATCATTTCAATCATCTCTCTCTCCGTCTGTCTATCTATCTATCTGTCTAAGTTTATTCGTATCTATCTCATTATTCTATTCTCTCTGCCTATCTATCTATCTATCTATCTATCTATCTATCTATCTATCTATCTATCTATCTATCTCAGTTCATATCTATCTCAGTTCATATCTATATATTATCAATATCTATCTATCTATCTATCTATCTATCTATCTATCTATCTATCTATCTATCTATCTCAGTTCATATCTATCTCAGTTCATATCTATATATTATCAATATCTATCTATCTATCTATCTATCTATCTATCTATCTATCTATCTCAGTTCATATCTATCTATCTATCTCATTTTGTCAATATCTATCTCATTCTGCTCATGTATCTGTCTATCTATCTCAGTTCATATCTATCTATCTATCTATCTATCTATCTATCTATCTATCTATCTATCTATCTATGTCTGTCTGTTTATATTTATCTATGGGTAAAATTAAATATCTAGCTTTCTCTTTAATAAGACTACTTTCTTAATTTCGTCTGCCTCAAGGCCGCAAGTACAGAGCACCTTGTCAGCCTAGACCTCTACCTTTGTAAATCTTCTGTGAGTCCAGATTCTTAACGACATCTCCATGTGTGGCGCATCACGTCGTACGTGTGTGTCCCTTGACAAAGAAAGACAAGCGTTCTCTTAATGTTCATAACATAACCCAACACCCACCCACCTCCATTAGACGCACTCATATACCCGTTCATCCTACCCGAAATTCAGAGACTCTTGTGCAAAGCTCAGCTACCCAGACACACCTGCTCACCCTCAGAAAAGGCGAAATCTACCCTCCGATACAGTTACGGATTCCACCGGGAGACAGGAATACTGTCCCTGATTCTAATACAAGAAAAAACAGTGACGTAAGAAACGTTCAGATTATCGTATATTATTATTATTATTATTATTATTATTATTATTGTTGTTGTTGTTGTTGTTGTTGTTGTTGTTGTTATTATTGACTGAACTTAGATTTTTATTATTAAGTAAAGAGAGGAAAGGAGAAAAGACTGTTACTCTCATCGTAGTAGTGGTGATGGTAATAGACCTGCCATTATTATTATTATTATTATTATTATTATTAAAGTAAAGAGGAAAGGAAAAGACTGTACTCACATCGTAGTAGTGGTGATGGTTATTAAACCTGCCATTATTATTATTATTATTATTATTATTATTAAGTAAAGAGAGGAAAGGAGAAAGACTGTACTCACATCGTAGTAGTGGTGATGGTGTTAAACCTGCCATTATTATTATTATTATTATTATTATTAAGTAAAGAGAGGAAAGGAGAAAGACTGTACTCACATCGTAGTAGTGGTGATGGTGTTAAACCTGCCATTATTATTATTATTATTATTATTATTAAGTAAAAGAGGAAAGGAGAAAGACTGTACTCTCATCGTAGTAGTGGTGATGGTAATAGACCTGCCATTATTATTATTATTATTATTATTATTATTATTATTATTATTATTATTATTAAGTAAAGAGAGGAAAGGAGAAAGACTGAACTCTCATCGTAGTCGTGGTGATGCACTTAGACCAGCCATTAATGTTATTATTATTATTATTATTATTATTATTAAGTAAAGAGAGGAAAAGAGAAAGACTGTACTCTCATCGTAGTAGTGGTGATGGTGTTAGACCTGCCATTATTATTATTATTATTATTAGCAACTTTATTAGACACGCAGTTTTATTTGGTTTTTAAAAAAATGGTTTTTGTTTAACTTTCTTCACATTTCTTTTTTTTTTTTTGTCTCTCTCTGTCTACGAATGGCTCACAGTCTCTATCTCTCTGTCTCTCTCTCCCTGTCTCTTTCTCCTTTCTAAAAATAAACACAAGCCTTTCTCTTATCTGATGAACTTTTTATTTTATTTTCACGCAATTTAATTTTCACCGGCCCGTTTTATAATAAATTCGTCACGAAACAAGACGTAGGAGAAAAATTCCGAGGCATGACGATAATAAGCAATAAAGGATTATCTGGATGACATCTTTAGAAAAAGATAAAACAAAATGAAAAAGAAAAAAAAAGAAGGAAAGGAGAAAGGAAAAAAAAAGAGAAAATAAGAAAAAAAATAAAGAAAACTTAAATCTGGAATAACACCGGCGGCATTAGTTAATCAATAATCGAGATTAGCGCTTCATAAACTACGTCGATGGCGATGATTAGGTTGTTATATATATATAACAACAATTGATCCAATTATCAAACACTAATCGAACATAATCGGATAATTTAGACCTAAAATATTTTTGTTGATATGTACATTCATTTTTATTCACAGGCACACACACAGGAATATATATATATATATATATATATATATATATATATATATATATATATGCGTGAGTGTATGTCATTTATAAGTCCGCGATGGTCAAGAAGTATAAACAATTAATACCCTCGTATAAATACTTGTTTTATCTATCTATGCCTCCTGCGTCATTTCTCTCTCTTTCTCGCCATATATATATATATATATATATATATATATATATATATATATATATATGCATATATGTCATTTATGAGTAAGTCCTCGATGGTCAAAAAGTAATACCTTCGTATTAATAATTGTTTTATCTATCTATCTATCTATCTATCTATCTATCTATCTATCTATCTATCTAT